CTTCCTTTTCTTTTCCCCTCTCCCTTTCCTCCTGAAAAGGGGAGCTCCCTCCCAGCATATTAGACTTCTACAGCACATTAAATCACATCAGGACTGAGCGTATCCTCATGCCCTGAGGCCGGGCAAAGCAGCTCTGCCAGGGGGAAGTGGTCCGAAAGTAGGCAATAGAGTCCATGTTAGAAACAGCACCCCTGTCCACTCACCCAAGGACCCCACATGAAGACCAAGCTGCCCATCAGCCACACATGTGCAGGAGGCCTAGGTTCAGCCCATGCATGTTCCTTAGTTGATGTCTCAGTCTCTATAAGCCCCCAAGGGACTGGGTTGAGGGGGACATCTCTTTGTCAGGCTATAGGCCTGTGACAGGGCAGGCTCCTTGGAGGTTATAGGTATGACTCTAGCTGAGACTCCTAACAGGGGGTGACATGAAGACTGAAGTGACCACCTCCTAGCCAGGCAGGACTAGTGGAAGGAGGGGAAAACAAGCTACCTTTGATCCAAAAATTACCCTGCCTACAAGGAGTGCAGGGATAAAGTCGGAACAAAGAGTGAGGGAATGTCCAACCAATGACTGACCCAACCTGAGACCCACCCCATGGTAGGGAGCCAGCCCCTGACACTATTAACAGTGCTCTGCTGTGCTTGCAGACAGGAGCCTAACTTCACTGTCGTCTGGGAGGCTCCAGCCAGCAGTGGATGGAGACAGATGTTGGGACTTGCAGCCAAGCATGGGGCTGAGCTCCAGGGGTCCTATGGGACCATCTTTGGGGGAAAGATAGAAAGACCTGGAGGAAACAGGAACCTCACAAGAAGACCAAAAGAGACAATGGGCTCTGGCTTTTCATCCATGATCACACATCCCTGCCTGAGACTCGGCCTGCCCTGGATCTGGACTCTGGAGCACTGGAGCACTGTTCTGGCTGCACTAACCCTCGTGTCCTGAGACTGCCTGCCGCTTCCTTGCCTCCTTATGCCAAGCCAGACAGTGCCTACCTGCCTGTTCTTCATGCTGAAATTTGCAGTCACCAGCCAGCCCTTTCTCCCAGATGATCATGGGGCTGTTACTGCCAACCTCATACCTCACCTCCCACCCCTGAAACTCTGCTCTTGCACCATCCTGGACAATCGCTGATAAGCAAAGGAGCCCTGCTTTCTTTTGTGCACGCCCTGTCTTTTGCCTAGAATGCTGTCCCCACCCTCTGCTTCTCAGACAGACACCGGTCCCTACTCATTCCTCATTCTTCAGATTCAGCCCAAATCCTTCCTTCAGAAAGCCAGCCTAACGGCCACCTCCTCCCCAGCTGCCCAGGTTCTCCTGGGTGTGCTTGTAGCACAATGTGCCACAATGTGTCTCTTCATGCTGGCTTGTAAAATGTGACATTGCCCTTTGGTCTGTGAGATCTCTGTGGAAACAGCCACCATATATCTGGTTCTTGGGTCTGTTGTGTTGGCACATGTGTGTCTTGCAAATACATGTGTGTTTGCTGCACAGAAACTCACTTTCTCACACTGATGACTGATTGGCAACTAACAGATTCTGGAAGAGGGGTGGCATGTTATCCGGCTGTGGTTATGCAGCTGTGGACCCGTTCTTGTGTGAGTTTGTTCCAAACAGCATCACACAGTTTAACTAATAGTTAAACTCTGTGGAATATGAAACAAAACAAAAAAACTAATAAATATGGAGCAGTACTTGTAAGGAAGAAAGAAGGCTGGCTGGGGTGGGAAGAAAATGAGAGAGGATAAGAGAGTAACCAGAATGCATTATACATATGTATAAAATTATGTAAGAACAAACTTTATTAATAATAAAAGAGACTCGGATTCTCTTCCAGGCTTATACCTCTGCCAGTATGGCATGGCCACCTGTGACAGAGGAGGAAGGATGGAGGATGCAGGCGCCATGGATGCCTCTGAGGATGGGAAAGTGGGGAGGTGTGTGGTAAGCAGGAGCCAGGATGACATTCTGCATAAATATTCGACTTTCTCCACAGCTTCCAGTGTATCAGCAGCGTCCTTGCTTCCCATCTTCTGGATATCAGCTGAGACAAGAGCAGCACTGCACATGGGCAGCGCTCGCTGAGCACCGGCAAGCTGGGATGTCTTCCTCAGCACTCAATGCGTTTGCTCATTTGACAAGCTAATGACATGGAAGCCATGAGTTCTTAAGGGGGCGGTGAGGTGAAGCCCACCGGGATTAAACAGAATCCCAAAGGGGTGTACCATCAGGGGGTGGGGCAGGGCTTCCTTTCCGTCTGCCTGAACGAGCCTGAACCGAGAACTGAAGCCCCTCTGTAGTCTCCAGTCCTGAGCTCGGTCCCTTCTGCCTCTTGCCTGCATTCTTAAGAACTGTCTTGCATGTGAGGTCCCCAATGTCAGGCACCAGAGGCAGCTCTTACCTGTGTCTGTGCCCTGTGGGTCAGGGACACAAGTTGAAACTCTGTGCTTGGTGATCATCACAATAGTAGCACCCACATGTGTGCTTTTGGCCCACAGGAACAGACTCAGCCTCTTATCTGAACCAGCACATGTTAACCCTTTCCTCCTCCTCCTCCTCCTCCTCCTACCTCACTGTAAACTCCACAATGTGGGAGTGATTCCTGAGCACACCCCAGCCTCGGGGCTGCTTCTGCCCATAGGTGCTCAGTTCAGCTAAGTGCCCGCAGACTGAGTCACGGAGTAGGTGATGAAGAACGGACTCCAATTAGACATTTCAAATGCCTGGTGCCCCGGGCTGGGTGCCCACGTCGTCTACAATGCTCTTTAAAATATCCCTGTACAGATAGGAATGGGTGGCCACTGTTTTTATTTACATTCTAAGGTGCTTAGGTAGCAGCCATGGAACCAGCTCAGCCCTCCTGCCTGAAGGCTGATGAGCACTGGAGAGCTCATATTCTGCACACCCTGGCCAAGCACAATGCACGGTGAGAGCAGTAAATGCCTACATGGAGAGAAAGGCGTTCCATCGAGGAGGTGTCTGGTGCGTAAGACGTAGGGCTTGGCTAGAGTAATAGTTACTTGCCTTCTTGTGGTGACAAAACAAAACAAAACAAAACAAAACAAAACAAAACAACAACCTGACAAAATCAGCTTAAGAAAGGAAAGGTTTGTTCTGCCTCATGGTTCAAGGCACAGTTCAGAGAGGTCTCCGTGGCCGGAGCTTACGGAGTCTGCTCACACTGTACCCATAGTAAGGAAGAAGGGGAAAATCAATGTTTGCGTCTGGGTTTCTCCTCTGTATTTAGTCAGAGATTCCAGCAGGAAAGGCACCCCTCTACAGGTAAGGCTTCCTACCTGAATGGACCTTATCTACATAATCCCTCACAGGCAGACCCAGGAGCTCTTCTCTGTCAGGCTGACAATCAGTCCTGACCATCACAGCAGGAAACATCGGACACATGCCTCTGGAAGTGTATGAACAGCCCAGGGCCTGGCGCTCTGGGTTCAGGACTGGGAATCTAGAATGTGACTGTTTAGATGTCCTTTGGAAATGTTGTTGCCTGGCCTCTATTAGCTACATCTGCCCGAAGAGTATTGTTAGTCATCTTGGTGAGACACACATGCCAGGCTTAGTCTTTCTTGACGTTCCATAGTTGATGATTTTGAAGTCACGGCCAGCCCATAGTGTTGAGTTGTTCCAATCCACACCTCATAGGTAACATTCAACCAACCTACATTTTGCTTCCTGGCCAGCAGAGGGCAAGCCATCCGACTTTCTTTTGAAAGTCTGTGGCAGTCCCCAGCATTGTTTCTTTCTATGTAACAGAGCATGGGAGAGTCAGCATGGGGTCCCTGGGTGACACATTTGGGATAGCGGGGTACCAGTGCCTCCAGATAAGGAACCCCAGCTTAGCTGAAGGCTGCAGAGACACATCAGGGCTGAGAAATGAAGAGGCCAGGAGCCCACATGGGACACGTGGCAATGGGGGCAGAAGGGACGGCAGGAGTGCGGGGGATCTGCCTCTGCCTCGAGGGCCCAGGACATTTGGTGTCTTTCAGGATGTGCCAGACTGTTGTCACCACAAACAGCCACAGCCAGGGAGAGGCTGAGAGCTTTGAGGGCTGTGTCATAGGGCTGGAAAGGTGGCTGCACTGAAGAGGTTTTCACAACCCATACCGCGCTGACACCTGCTATGCGCCTGCCTGGGAAACCCCATGCGTTTGGTGTTCTCATCCCTTACCTTGTTTAGGTCGTCTTCCTGGGCAGTGTCCATTCCTATGCCATCCTCTCTCCATTTACTTGAGTGCCAGTGTCTACCCGAGCAGCTACAACACACAGTGCTGTAGCCACAGGGCCACCCAAATGTCCCTCTAATGCTGGCTCATCCCACAAGAACTCTCTTGCCTCTCCTGTGAGTGTCCTGACCATCCTACATAGCCTTTGTGGCACCTACTCTGATTTGTCCCATTCTCTTTATCCACAGACTCATTTCATCACTATGGAATGTTCTCTCTCCCATCTAGACCCAGCACGCCTGGGCCCCTGTCCTTAAAGCGTTCAATAGGCTGAACCGTGCAAATAAGAGAATGCATCCATGCAGCCATGACAATGTCACAAGCCACTCGGAGGTGAGCAATCCCTCATGTTCACATTGGGGCCCCGGTGATGGAGGGAGGTAGGGTGTGTGGCCACTGAGTTCACATTTCAGGTTTATTGAATGCAGCGCTGGAAGCCGGCGATCAAAGTAACGCTCAGTTCTATGCGTCACCATTCCCTAGAGATCTGAGGAATGGTGCTCTGCCTGCCCTGCCACAGTTCAGGAAAGGGCTGCGTGGGAGAACAGGTGGGAGGGGAAACACTGGCAGGGTGGCCAGGCTCTGTTGTCCCTTTGAGGCTTGAGCCCCAGAGTTCTATCCTTGAGGCCAGTGCACTCCTGTCGGGGTCAAGTGGGCCTCAAGCAAGGAAACAGGTCTTGGCGTCACCCGGAAAGCATCTTCCAACACAGTCCTTACTTCTTGTGCAGTATCAATGTGAGACCAGGCAATAGTTCACTCCCCACCTACATCTTCTGGGGATTTTCAACTTTCCCTAGAAAGAGAAGAGATTTTGTACTTTTTTCCAGAAGTAGAATCAGGAATGGCTGGTTGAAGGAGATGATGGAGGAAGGGTTGTCCCGGGAGCGGACTATAAGCTTGGTGGTGGTAGCTGCTGCGGCTTCTGTCCCCTCCTCACTGACGTCCAGCACAGCCTTGTGAGCAGCCTGTAAGGAGGGAGGGGGAACAGGTGTCAGTGGCTCCCTCAGAAGCTGTGACATGAACCTGGCACAACCAAAGGGTGATGCTGCTTTCTCTTCTGGGGAGGAGGTTCCCAGCCTGAGACCAATGGCCAAGCTACAGCATGGTCTGGGAACCACCTATGAGGACAGGCATTCGTTTTCCCAGGTGCATGAGTGTTCCCCTTGGGTAAAGCTCTACTGGGCTCATCATATCCTATGGGGGAACCTCTCAGCCTTTTTCCCCTGAGGACAAATGACAAAAATGTCCTCAGAACTATACCTGACCATCACAGTCCGTTATCAAATCAACGAATTAAACCAAGGATCAAAAACCTGGTAAATTTGGACTTGGATGTAGACAGGGACTAGACGGATGATCTAATAAATGAAGATGCTTTCTGCAGGGCACTGGGCTACATGGGTCACCCGATGGTAATGCCAGGCTAAGGGACTTCAGGCGCAACAATTGCTATATCATGTGGGAACTGAATTCAACAATTTCTCACAAAAGGACCAAAAAAAAAAAAAATCTCAACTTTTAGATCCGGACCCCTTCAGGACAAATGCTACATCTACAGGTACAAAGGGCACCTTTGTGCCTGCCGTAACATCTGCCTGAGGATTCATTCGTAGCTGGAAAGGAAGAGATGCTAGACTCCCATCTGCTCTTCCCCTGCAGGTGTGTGGCAACGATTTCGCTTGGCTAGGAGCAGACCTGCTTTTCAAAGAAGCCCAGATTATTTGCTTGAAGAAGAATTATGAGTGTCCCAGAGTCAGATTGTAATGGCCCAGGCCTGGCAGCCTTGAGGCTTGGCTTTTCCTTTAGCCAGTAAACACTTCCCCCTCCACAGCCTGCCACCTTCTCAGGAAGATGAGAGCCCTTTGTTAGCTGTCTCTTCCGGCATGGACTGTCTTACAAACATCCCCATCCACTCACTTTAGAAACCTGCAGGAAGTGTGTCTTTGTAATCCCGGAAAAGTCAGCGTTTGCGTTAAAGGCATCTCGGATCCCCATTTTGGGGAGGATATTTTCCAGGTTGTAGGAAGCAGAAATGGAAAATTTGGGGATGAACACTTTGATCCACCTACGGAGAATGGAAAGGGAAAAGATGGGGTTAGGATATCTCCATCTCTGCTTTCATGTGGCATTTTTGAAGAGCCTGCTTTCCCTAGCACTGCTAGTGACTTTCCAGAGGTGTCCCCCAAAACACCAGACTGCTATGTTCATGAGCCTACTACCCGAGCAAGTCCATCTCTGGGGATGATGAAGATGTCAAGGAAATCATGCAAAGAGACACGAAAGAAATAATCTCCTGAATCATTGGATTAATATCCTCATACTCTCTATAGCATCTACAGAGCTAACAACATTGCTGTACCCTGGAGTTTATTAGGCATTTCCTACCTCCCGGTCACTCCCTACCACTTTCTAAATAGTAAGGCTGCTTCAGCAACCTCTTACTTCAGAGATGCAGTGACACTGTGACCTTCATTCTACAAGTGAGCACCAGGACTTCGTTTGGTTGGCTTGCTTGCCTGCTTGCTTGCTTGCTTGCTTGCTTGCTTGCTTGCTTGCACAAAACTAATCTCATGGAACTCAATAGCACCTTGCCTTCTGGAGTGAACTCTCTCCTTAGATATAACATCTTCTTGTGTGCAGCCTTGGGTGATTCACTGTGGTGGTATGAGTGAGAAATGTCCTCCACAGGCACAGACATCGGAACACTTGGGGAGTTGGCGGTGTGCTTGGAAAGTTTATCAGGAAGTACAGCCTGGCTGGAGGAAATACATCACTGTGGGGTGGGCTTTGAGCATTTAAAGCTTTGCCCCTACTGTGATTGGTAGTGGGTCCCACGAGAGGGGCTACCCAAAGGCTCCAATTACTGTTTGGGGTTTCCTTTTGTGAGGCTCAAGGGGAGGAAGAGCTGGATTACTAAGGGTGGTTCTCTGTGGTGATTGATGGGTGAGCAGAGAGTGGACTTCATGCTTATGGTTGAAGACATTATCCCTGAGCACCCTGCTCCTGTCGCCATGCCTAACACTTGCTGCCTGCCGTGGCTCCCCACCAAGATGGACCCTTATCCCTCTGCAACCTTAAGTCAAAGTGTTCTTTCTTGCTCAAGTTGCCTTTGGTCATGGCGTTTTGTCACAGCGACAGAAAAGTAACTAACACATCCACTCACCCTCAAGGAGCCTGTTTCCATCTGGGGAGAGGGAAGAAGATGATGACACTGTTGTACCAGGTGATGGCGACATTGTGTGGTGCTGCGTGCACACATTACCACACTCACAGTACAGGCAGTAGAGGCACAGGGGACTTACACCTGAATGGCTGCTAACACGTTCCCGCCCTCCACCAACCCATCTTTGGACGAACAGCTCCTAGCAAAGCGACAGCGGTGCCCACCTTTTCTGGAGGGAGAGGCTCCACTTTCTCAGCCTCCTGGCTGACAGACTCTTCTCCAGCTGCCACATCTTGCCCCTGCCCTTGCCCGGGAGGACGAAGAAAGCCACGGCATCACCCCTGTAGTCCATCTGCAGCACGGTGCAGCCCAGCTCTCTGTCCACTCCGAAAGCAAACAACTCCGTCTGGTGCATCATGGGGACGCGCACAGTGCCGCCCTTGCTCAGGAGGAACGGGAAGCTCTTGTTTGTGTTTGCAGCACTGAAGGGCTGTGTCCAGTTGGCTAGCAAGGAGAAAGAGGAGAGGGCTTAGGTCAGTGCAAAAGAAGAGGGGACTTTACATCCCTGTAACCTGCCAGACATAGACAGGCAGAGCGGGGAGACAAGGACCTCTGGAAACTCAAGTCTCCAAAAACACAACCATGATGAACACTGTGAGGCCAAGACTTAAATCCCTATACCCACTCACGTACACACACACACACACACACACACACACACACACACACACACACACA